AGAGAATCCCAAGCAGTGCGGAGCCTCATGCAGGGCTCGATCCCACAACCCTGGGATCATGACCTGAGCTGAAATCAAGAGTCAGATGCTCAACCAACTGAGCCACCAGGTGTCCCAGGCAGGCCCTTAAAGTGAGGTCTGCATCCCAACCACTCAGGTGTGCAAATACACACAGGTGCCTGGGCCTGACCCCAGACCTACCATGTCGTGATTTCAGAGCAGCTGGGCCCAGAATCTGCATTATAAACGAGCCTCCCCCACACTCCCAGATGGTTCTTCAGTGCGCGCTGAAGTCTGAGGAGCACCACCCAAGGCTGCCTCCCATCTGTCCCTGGCTGCCTGGCTTGCACCTTGCACCATCTTGCTGAACTAAAGAGTTAAATCACACACTGGAGGATTCGGGACACTTAGAAGTCATTCAACGGGGGAAAGGAGGAAGTGAGCTTGCCAGATGCCACCCCTACCACAGCCAGGATGTGGACTCAATCTTGGCTTTCGGTCTCTTTTCCCTACATCACTGCCACCCCCAGGACATGCACGGGAGGCAAAAGAAATTAAACTCTAACAGTGTAATTTCTGGATGCAAGGAGAAGGGTCTGGCGAATAAGGGATGGAGGGGAGGGGAGCTTTGGTAGAGCCCTAGACTTCACCTCAGGTGGGCCCAGGCAGGGAGCTCCCTCCCAACTCTCCAGTTGGGTGACCCTATGATCACCCCGTCACAAAGACTGCTAGGAAAAGCCATGTTGGCGGGTGCCGGGAAGCCCTACCTCTCCAGGAAGCTGGGGGCCCCTGACGCTGGTCAGATCTGATTGTCCCCCACCTCCCCCACTCTGGGTTGTCAGCAGAGCACGAGGTAAATGCTCCGGTAGGGCAACCAGCAGCTTGGCCTCCAGAGCAGATACAGCTTTGTGCACGGCCCCACAAGAGAAATCGGGAATGGCTGAGCCTAGCCATTTTTCTGGTCTGTACTGTGCCGAAAACGTTAGCCTGTGAATTACAAAAGATAGGTTTCTGGGGGATTTCTGTTTGTCTGTTTTCTGCTTTAGGGCCTGACAAGCATCCTTTGCCCCTCTGTCTAGTAAGAGAACCCTCCTTCCTGTGGTTTGGGTAGAACTTACTCTACACTCTCCCCCACCCAACCTCAAGGCTCATACCTGACCAATGCCCTCTTCCATCCTCCTGATGGCAACAGACGATTCACAGATGGCCACATGACCCAAACCGCCCATATGACAGTCATCCCCAGAATTATGTGGGTGCTAGGGGAAACCCCCCCCAACCTTGCTCTGCCATCTTGAGGGGGCACTGCATAAAGCTGGAGGCATTGGTGACCACCTTTCCCATCATGAAGGGAAAGCCTGCCCAAAACTGGAGCCAAGACAGAGCCAGGAGAGGGACGGAAAGACAGAGAGACCGAGCCCGAGAGCATCATTTAAATGCTTGGATTTAGCATCCAAAGACCCTAAGCCAATATGTCCCTCCTCCCTTTTTAAAAATTAACTTGAGTTAGACTTCTGTCACTTGCATCCCAGAGTCCTGGCTATCTTCATTTCAGGCATGTGAAAACCACCACAGGAATTTAATGGATAGTTTCTAATGAAGTATCTTACAGATTCAAATAAGAAAATTCATGCCTGGGATCATCCACAAGTCGTCAGCTAAATTATCACTATGTTTCTGTTTTACACATGAGAAATTGCTTTGACTGGTGCTTTGTTCAAGATATTAAAATAATCACAAGTTCAAGTAGTTATATTAACCGTACATACCTTTAGGGAGTCCTGTATCTTGAATGGGGTATTTGTCTGACTGTGGAAACCAACAAAAGAAGAGAGTTATTCTTAAACACCATAGTCAATTGTAAGATCAAAGTGAAAAGAAAGCTTTGTTTTGGGGAAGTCATAATTTTAGTTTAAAACCTCGCAAGTTTCTAGCCATGGCTTTATCAACAGGCCTGACCCATTGCTTGTTTTTATGCTTAGTTCATAAAAAATGAAATCTACGTTGACAAGAAGTTAATGTTGGAACATGAGACAGAATAAGCCTTCTCAATTTCCTCAGCTCTGACCACTAAACCACACTTCCTCTCTTTTCTGCAGTGCTATTTCCCCTATTTCCTGTAGTTTAAAATTGAGGAACGTTTTCACGAATTATGGGGATAGACTGATATCTTGTCATCATTTCTGTGATATTCATTTGGGTCAATAAGCCTGCGTGCCAGGTGGTATTCACTATTGGAGAGCTCTGTCCTGGGTTGACTGGGATGGGACTCAAAAACCAACCATCCCTACTGACCTGCACAAAGATCTACTCATTATGCATGACCATATACAGTTCCTCAATGCCCTGGATGAGGACAATTCCATTGGAGGGAATTCAAAATAGCAAAGGCTCTTACAATCATGTATGTCTTTGTTGGTACCTCCATGCGGGTATCTAATGTTCTGAACACTTTGACTTCCGATTAAAGAATGGAGTAATTCTCTGATGACTTACATGAGAGGAGCGAGAATGTGCCCAGTCTCCCTATCCTGTCCCCTAACCCCTATTCAGCTCCCACCCTCCATCTGGGGCTTTTGGGTCCATGCCCTCCAGCCTTAAAATGAAAGTTACACCTTCCAACTTGCCTGTAGGTCTCACACATGTCCTCCTCTGACAGAAGAGAAGAAGAAACAAATGTGGAACCAAGAATTTTGTTTTAAATCCCTTTCCTTGCAGTTACTTTGGAGATGAACAGTGAAGCTTCAGAACCTCTAGGAGCCTCAAACTCCTCTGCCACAGAAGAAATCAATCAATCATGGAGAACTTAAAAAGTCAAGTTTTCCCTCAGACTAAATTCTTCTTGATACTCTGTTCTCCAGAGAATGGAAAACACACCTGTCCTATAACACTTACCAGGCTGTTTTTAAAGTATGTAGTTGTCTATTTCCTGGAACAAACTTGGAGTTTTTCAAGAGAAGGAACTATGATCTTTGCAACTCCACATTTTGACTCAGTGTTAACTGAACATCTACCAAAGGTCTGCATGAATGAACAGGCTGGAGCAAACACAGGTTTCCTGAAAAGACATTCAAGCTAGGCCTGGAGAATGCCCAAGAACTTGGGTGACCAAGAGGAAGGAACACAGTAATTGCAGATGGCAGACACAGGTGGTCTGGACAGTGACAGGTGTAGAAGACCCATCAGCTTGAAGCAGAGACACACGCTGGAGGGGGACAGGGCTGGATACGAAATGATGGAGTCAGTTTACATGGAAGATCCTGGAAGTGAGGTGGAAAGATTTAATGGGTGCCATTCTAGGTGTTTGGGAAGCTTGGCCTATCCAGCTGTGCATGGGAAGATGTTCAACAATGTCTTGTAGAAACTCAGACAAGCAGACAATTTCAGCACAGTGCGATCGAAAGTAGAGTTTGGGCTGTGGAGAAGGGGGCCCCAGAAGGCCCCAGGGTGAGGCAAAGAAAGCATCACAGGTCAGCGAAGCTTGAACTGAGAAGACGAGGAACAACAGGAGTTCATCAGGTGAGGAAGCAGGGAGATTTTCTTCGCTGGATGGAGCAGGGTTATCGGTATCCCAGGAAGGTGAGAAGGCCTGGGTGTTTCAGGAGCAGCAAATAGCTACTCAAGCTTGACTCATCAGGAGGGATGCTGAGATGGGGTCGTGGAGGACCGCATGTGCCGTTCTGAAGAGTACAGGCTTAACCCCAGGAGCAGCTGCCATGTTATGGGTTGATTTGCGTCTCCCCAAAAAAGACCTGTTAAAAGTTCTAACGCCCAGTACCTCCGAATGTGACCTCATTCGGAAATGCAATCACTATAGATAGAGGACTAGTTAAGGTGAGATCATACTGGAGTAGAGTGGACCCTCAATCCAAGATGACTGGTGTCTATACAAGAGACACAGACCCACAGGGGGAATTCGGCCACGTGCCAACGCAGTGAGGGAACGGATGGGTGCAGTTACAAGCCGAGGGCCACCGCCAGCTACCGACAACCACACAGGCCTGCAGAGAGCAGAAAAGATTCTTCCTCCACTGATTCCGGGGGGAAATGGCCCCGCCAACACTTGGGTTTGGCTTCTCGCCTCCAGAAGCGTGGGCCATTTAGGTCACCCATTATGTGGTGCCCTGCTGTGGCCACTCCAGCAAACTGACCCAGGGAAGGCTTAGAAAAATCAATCTGGCCCAGCGTGGAGACGCGATCGGAAGTAGCTGTGAGCCAAGGAGAGAGGGGAGAACCTGATGTCGGGAAGACAGTGGGAGTCCCAGGGGAGCACAGGTCGGGCACTAGGGACAGGAAGGACCAACTGAGTGACACCCTATAGGAGCCAAAGGCTCTCCTAAGGAACCACAGCACGGGGGATGACTGGAATGATCCACAGGGCTGCTCTGCATCCCGTCCTTACGGAACGCAGGGACAGGGGATTCTCTCATGTTGATTTCCACTGTGTGTCCAGCTCCGTCCCATTCTCACTTAGGAAACTGCAGTGCTGACTAAAGATGTGAGAACAAACATCTCAGGGCTTTGAGACACAGGTGCCTCATGAATCACCAAAGACTTAGAGACACTTCGTTGAATTGTATTGTTTAATTATATTGTTGTGTGCATTTATGTCATTCTAACTAGATTAGTTCCTCAGAATTGTTCATGACTGGGCAGTTCCTCTCCTCCAAATGCTGACAGAAAAGAAAAGAGAAGGAAGAGAAGAGAAGAGAAGAGAAGAGAAGAGAAGAGAAGAGAAGAGAAGAGAAGAGAAGGAAAGAAAGAAGAAAGGAAGGAAAGAAGGAAGGAAGGAAGGAAGAGGGAAGGAAGGAAAAAAAGAAAGAAGGAAGGAAGAAAGGAGGCAGGAAGGAGAGGAAAGAAAGAAAGAAGAAGAAAATGTGTCACATACTATATGCATAATAACACATGAAACGTTGCCAAAGGCACTGATTCGGTCATAAAACAAGAGGCAGTACCACATAGGAGAGCAGGGCTCCAGTCTGGGTGATTTTATACAAATCAGTTCACTTTCCTTGCTTCTTCTGTAGCATGGGGGTAAAAACAGCTGTCCTACCACCTCACCGCTTATTTGGAGGATGAAGAATGATGTATGTGAAGTCCTCGGTAAACCTTAAGCAGTAGACATGCTACCGAGTGGTTATGGGAAGGCAGGGCAGGGACCTGAAGCCAGCCGCTGGGCTGCTTCCAGTCGAGCCTCTTAACCTCATCTTCTGTGCCTCAGTCTTTCATCTGTAAAACAGGCAGTGCTTACCTGGAGGGAGGTTGCAGGGATTAAATGCAATAACACACTGAATCAAACGGTGGACGCCCATCTGGTGAATGGGCAGCCCCCAGTTACTGGAAGGCAGCCCTGTCGTTTCCTTCAATCTCACATTAAATAACTTGAATTTGGAAGAAGAGGAAGTCAAAAGGAGACAGATAAGGATTGAGTAGACAAACGTACAAAGACCTGATGTAATCTAAGCAGATCACTTCTGGTACATGCCAAACAAGAACAGAAACCTAATACCATTTCTAGCCTTAGAGAAACCCAAAGTTTATTACGTCACAGAGAACACTGTGATAAAGACATTTATCTTCGGAAAACCGAACTTGGGGTTTCTGATCTTCATGTTAATACTGAGCCATAAAAATGCAACAAAGGGGACAAAGGAATAACAAGAATTATCGCCATTCATGTAAAGTTTGTAACCTACCACGTTAAAGGATAAAGTGCTAGGGTCCGTGTCTTCCACTGGCTCCTTTGCCATATGATCTGAAAAAAGCAAACAAACAAGTGGAGAGTATTTAATTTAAGAGCACAAAGGTGTCCTTTGAGAACTGCCTTCACAGCGACGCAAACCACCCTAATCAGGTTTGAGAAACACTTACTTTGAATCATTACTGAAAACAAATTCAGGAGGAATGGGGTCAGACCACACCAAGAAAGAGATTAAGACAAATAAACTTCATTAAAAAAAAAAAAAAAAAAAAAAAAAAAAAAAAAAAACACCATAATTTGGGACAGTTTCCTTGTAGATATCTATAAACACTCAGAGTTCCAAATAGTCATGAACTATGCAGATGTCATTCTCAGGACTGTGTGGCATACTGGATTTGATTATAACTTTGACTTCTGCTTTTCTCCATTTCCTAAAGAGAGAGGGAGACACAGAATCTGAAGCAGGCTCCAGGCTCCAAGCTGTCAGCACAGAGCCCGACAAAGGGCTCGAACTGACCAACCGTGAGATCATGACCTGAGCTGAAGTCAGCCGCTTAATCGACTGAGCCACCCTGGTGCCCCTCATTTTTATAATTTTAAAATACTAAGCATCTGGATGTGGTTTATGCAAATGAATAAAGTCAGAAATGCCTCCCAGTATCATTATCAAACAAAAAGTGACTTTGATTTCCCAATATGTTTGCTTCTTATTTACCACTTGTTGCATTTCAGGAACTGAATGAGGAAATGCAGAAAATGGGATAGGCCTCGGTCAAAGCCACAACTACATCTTAAGAATTTGCACAAAGTAGAAAAAAGTTCCCCTCTCCAAGACACTTTATCAGACATCTGCCAGAAAACTATCTTAATAAAGAACCAAATCTGTTTGGGGAGGGGGTCCTCGAGATTTGTGCAGCACACCACCCACGAAACCCTAAGTGGCAGCCTTGGGTCAGCCGACTTTTCAACTTTCATTTTTTCCCTCCAGATCTTCATTAAGTATACACTGTGGACCAGGCACTTAGACCCAGGAAATGCCTTTGGGGATCCAAATGAGCATAGCAAGATGATTTATAATAATTTGTGTTTGTTCTCCCTAGATGTTTCCCTTCTAGAATGTGCCTGGACTTTCCCCATGTCTTTGCCTGGCAGGTGTTGACAATGCCCAAAGGAGCAGCAGTGTGAAGGGAACACCTATTTGTTTGTTTTATGACAGCCTAGTCATTGGAGAGATTAAACAAGATGGCCCAGAGGAGTGGGGACAAACGAGGAGAGCTTTCGCCAGTGTCATTCCACAGAGCAGGGGACAGACATCTGCAGCCTCATGAGTGGGGACCGTGGCCTGGTCCCTGGCAGAGCCCAGAGGTAGCAAGGCCACATCAGGAGATGCACCAAGGGGACTTCCCACCCCCAGCAAAGGGACCCGTGGTTTGTGTCTAGCACAGAAACAAAGGGCTGCTGGATCACAAGGGTCCTGTAAGGCCCAGACCCTGAGGACAGCAATGCCCACCAAAATGTACTAAAAATTCAAGGCCCCTCTCTAGTTTTCCAAGCACCACATCATCCTCTCAGATTCCCGTGTGACCCTGAGGAAGGGGCCAGGTCCCGACTCGGACTGAAAAGGAATTTCCTGGGAGCCCAGGGGAATATGGACTCAAATATGGATTTAAATCCATGTAAACAAAACAGGAACCACCTGTGTTGCTGATTTCACCCAGAGTTTTCACAATTGCTCCTGCCCAAGTGATAAGTCATTATAATACAGAGCCCTCAGCGTTAAGAAACACAAGTGCAGAATGCTATGGAAACAAGAGGAAGCATAAATGCCCAGCCTGGGGTACATGGTGGGGTTGGGGGCGGGGGGGTGCGGGGAGAAGATCCTGCCAGGGAATGGACAGCTGGGTCTGGAAGGATGAAGTGAAGCTAGCCAGGAGAAGGGGTTGGGGAGGGAAAAGCATTCTAGAGAGAAGGAACAGCATGGGAGAAGGCTGAGAGGGGATAAAGAACATGGCACATTGGTATACTTCAGATATGTCCGGCCAGACACACTGAGTTTGCTTTTTGAGTTTTTCCTTTTCATTCTTTTCCTTCCGGTTCCTGGCTGGAGACAGGGTGGTGGAAGCCGTCACTGAGTAATCTCAAGTTCCTTCCTCCCTCCCCACCTATCACGGCCTTGTTGCAACAATTTCATTTTCACTAAAGCATACTTAGATGCTAATGCTTTATTTTTTTTTTATTTTGAGAGACAGAGAGGGAGCGAGCGCAGAGGAGCGGCAGAAAGAGGGGAGGAGAAAGAGAAACCCAAGCAGGCTCCATGTTCAGCCCAACTCAGGGCTCAACGCCAGGACCGTGAGATCATGACCTGAGCTGAAATCGACAATCAGATGCTCAACCGACTGAGCCACACAGGCAGGCGTCTCTGGATGATAATACTTTGAAACCTGCCCCCCCACCGGGGGTGTGGTATATTAGCAGGTATCAACAATGGCATTTCAGGTCAAGGGGCGTGCAGGACCT